AGCAGCCTGGGTGTGGCTGAATTCTAAAAACAAAACAGGTCAAAAGCTGTAGGCCATAGCCTGTCAACCTTTGATTTAGATCACCTTCAGTTTCTCAGAGCAGTATTCTGTAGTCTTCAAAGTGCATAGTTTTGAGTTTATGCTTAAGTATTTTATGTTGGATACTTTTGTAAATTAATTTATTTTAATTTCTAACTATTGATTGATGTATAAAACATAGAAGTGATATTTATATATTTATCTTGTATCCTGCCATATTCACTGATAGTACCAGGAATTTTGCTGGTAGGTTCCTCGGGAACCTATTCTCTGCAAATAAAAATGCTTTACCTATTTCTTTCCATTCTTTATAACATTTTTTTCCCCTGTCTTATTGCCCTGACTAGGCTCTCCAGTACCAGTTGAATAGGAGTAATGAAAGAATACATCTTTGGGGGTAGCTGATTTTAGGGTTAAAGCATTCATCTTTCAGAATCAAATAAAATGTTAGCTATAGATGTTTTTGAGTTGCTCTTCATCAGGTTGAGAGAAGTTCCCTCCATTTCTAGTTTGCTGAGAGGTTTCGTCATGGCTGGATGTTGAATTTTGTCAAATGCTGTTTCTTTTTTATTTAATTACTACTGCATGTTACATTGATTGACTTTTAAATGTTAAATCAGCTTTGCATTCATTACATGGATAATCCATATTCTTGATGTGTTATCCTTTTTATACATTAGGTTCGATTTTTAATATTTTGTTAAGAATTTTTGTGCTATGTTCAAAATAATATTCTGCTGTAGATTTCTTTTCATGTAATAGCTTTGCTGGTTTTGACAGAGTAATTATGGTCTCATAGAATAAAATGAGATTTATTCCTTCTATATTTTCTTAAAGAGTTTGTATAAGAATGGCATTATTTTCCTTAATTATTTAATAGCATTTGTCAATGAATCCATTCAGGTCTAGAGTTCTATTTGTGGGAAGGATTTTAATAATGAATTAAATTTCTATAATGGATGTAGATTGATTTAAACATTGTGTGTGTGTGTGTGTGTGTAACAGCATTGGTAACTTGTGGCTTTCAAGGAATTTGTCTCTTTACATTGTTGAATTTATTGCCACAAAGTTGTTTTTTATATTCTTTACATTTTTGTCTATAGTGTATGTAGTGCCCCTCTTTCAGTGGTGATGTTGGTAATTCTGTATTTTTCCTCTTTTTTCTTGATCAATTTAGTTGAAGATTTACCAATTTTATTGATCTTGTCAAATAAATAACTTGTTTTCATTAATTTTCTGTTCCACTTTAGCTTTTATCTGTTGTTTCCTTCCTTCTATTTGCATATATTTTCCTCTCCTTTTTTCCTAGTTTCTTAAGGTGGAAGCTCATTCTATTAATTTTAACCTTTCTTTATTTGTAATATAAGTATTGACAACTATATATTCTTCTCTAATAATTATGTTAGTTGCATTCCTTAAATTTTGATGTATTTTGTTTTCATTATCACTCAGTTCAAGGTATTTTATAATTTTCTCTGTGTTTTCTTCTTTGATGGTTAATTTCAAAGCTCTTTGTTTAATTTGGAAAATTGTCAGAAAACACTTTAACTACTAAACACAATTCTTACTTAAATGTAGGACATAAGGCATGTTTGGAATATAAAGCATGGGCAGAAGAGAGCCTCAGATGTGCCTTAATAATACACTCTTATATGATATATATGTATAGATAGAGATTACATAGATACAGGTATATACACTCTCATATTATATATCTAAGTAAGGCCAACTAGACTTTGATTGATAAGGTCAGCCTTAAAAGGCTGTTCAGAATTGTATTGTTTAGCATAGCATTTCTTCATTTTGTTTAAACCCCTTTACCCCCCTACCAATTACCAAAACATTTAAGATTCTATATACATTTAAATGTGTTAAGAATTAAATGTGTTCTTATGTCATTGTTTTTCATTCATCTCAAGCTTGAAACTAGGGGTCCTTCCCTCCCTTTCAATGGGTACACTTTTACACTTCAGTTCGAACGAAATCACCATCTCTAATAGGACCCAGCCAAAATCTGTCAGCTACTGGTTCTGCTGCTTCTAACTTTGCCAGTCTTTTTATTAAAATAACCTATTTGTAGTGGGTCACTTTCATTACAGAAACACAATAAGAGCAGGAAGCTTAAATTCAAGGGAAATGATGAGTTTCCACCCTGGTGGTAGATAAACTTACGCTGGACTGAGATATTGCCTACAAGGCTTTTGTCCTCGTGAACTTTTTGTGTTAGAAGCAGTGGTGGGTGACTGTCACTTTAGAAGCTGCAGAGGGTAGGGGATGTGTACTCAAGCTAGACCGCCATAGTTCAAATTCTTGCTGTGCCATTCAATTGCATGTGACGTTAGTTTAGACAAGTCATGTAATTGCTCTGGGCCTCAGTTTCTCCATCTGTACAATGGAGATAATAATAGTTCATATCTCACAGCACTGCTGTGAGGGTTTAATGAGTTAATATTTGCACTTAGCAAGTACCTGGGGACATACCATAGGGTCTACAGAAGTATTAACTGGTACTGCTACTGCCTTGAAAAAGCGGTAGCTTAAGAAGCTCTTGAAAACCTAAGCAATCTTTAACAGAGAGTATTACTCTATTGTTTCAAAAAAATCAGAGGTGGGAGCAATCTCGAGGTAAGGCTGCATTTCATGCATGCTTTAACAAAATAGAAACTGGAGGTGTACTGGGTCATGTTTTTCAAAGACCAGAAGATCAACTTGTTCTTGGCCTATGATTTATTCCTAGGAGAATCATAAATAAGGTCATAGTCATGGACTTTGAACACCAAGTCATGTGAGCTGACTTGTAACTTCTACATAGTCTCAGAAGCTGTAGAAAACATTTAGTAGTACTTTATTTTAAAGACAACTTCCCAATTGCCAAACATTGTCATCAGTAAAAAAATTAGAAACTAAAACTTACTGAACTATACTTTTATTTTTAACTTGTTAAATTCAGAGAAATACTATGGCCACTTCTGTGAGTTTAGTTAATTTTTGCTGCTTTCCACATTTTAATTATCAGTTATCTTACGGCAGTTTCCAATGATTTCATCAATCTTGGTTTGTGCTTTTAACTTATACATTGGAATCTACTTGTTTGCAATTTTCAGTATCTTAAAACAGGCTTGGCAACTGAAAAACAAGTTGCATATATTAGAATTTCCTGCTTGTGCACAGTGCGCCAAAAACAATTTATGCTGAAAACCCAACTTTATTGAATTGCAGGTACTTCTATAACTAATTCACTAATTTTCTTTCTGTGATTAAGAAAACAACATTGACCTGTATATTTAGCAGGCAAGTAGTAGAGCAACACAGTTCTTATGGCTGTCATCATTTTCCATTTCGTTTTATTGTTATTTATGTTATTTTATCTCCCAATCTGACTAAATGCTTTCTATCTCATCCCACCTGTCTTGAAAGCAATATTTGCAGAGCAATTTTATTATTCTGTGTATTCTGATGGTGCTTTTAAGCTCAGCTCTATGAAGAAAATCCTCGTCAGTTTCAGCGTGTTGGGACAACTCTCCAGGAGCTTAGAACATTCAAGATGGCTCTGTGTTAAAAGTGTATGGTCAGCCCTGGCAGGTTTGGCTCAGCGGTTAGAGCGTTGACCTGCGGTCCGGAGAGACCCGGGTTCAGTTCCCGCTGAGGGCACGTACTTTGGTTGCAGTTTGTCCCCGGCCCTGGTTGGTTGTGCGGGTGGCAGCCACTCGATGTGTCCCTTTCACATCGATGTTTCTCTCTCTCTCTCTCTTCCTCTCTCTCTCTCCCACTCTGTCTATACAAAAAACAAAAAATGGAAAAATGTCCTCAGGTGAGGAAAAAAAAAAGTGTATGGTTAGCCATTGATTCCCCTGAGCACTGGGGAGAGCCGACAAGATTCTGGAGCCCACCAGCTAGTGAGCCCAGCTAAGAACAGGGTCCGCCAGTTCTCCTGGGCAGCCCACGTGCAGCAGGGTTAGGATGTGATGATACCCTCCTCTGGCAGCAGCCATACCTGGCAGTTGGCACTGACTGCAGCCAGTGAGGTGCCTTATTGTCTAGACATCTACTTCTGCCACCAGATGCAGACAGGACAGCATGAATAAAGGCACTGGTAGAGATGCAGGAGGAGCCCAAGCAGCCCCAAGTTGAGGCTGGGGACACATCCATTTCTCTACCCCTAAATCCCTATATTCACACAGACACATACTTTAGTCCTTTTGTGGCTGCCATATCCTTTGCGGCGGACTCCAAGCCAGATGCAGGTTCTCACAAGGCGTGCTCAATCTGCAAATCAGAGCGTCAGCGTATTGCTATGAAAACATTTGGTTGGGTTTCAAATCATTGGCATCTTCCCGAGAAAATTCAACATTACCTTGTCTTGGATGGAAAACAATGATTGTTTCATTTCTTCAATGATCATTTCCAACTATGGTAAAATTCCGAATGGTTGTAAAAACTGTTTTTACATTTTTATATCTCACTTATTTTGTTGATAGTGCCCATCGAGAGTGCAACTTTTTCATAAAAATATGAAATGATTTTATGTAGAACTTGATGCAATCTAATATTTAAATCACTTCTAATATTTTTGTTTGCTTTTTAACACGTAGGCAATGCAAAAGAGCATAGATAAATCTTTACTAAACTCCAAGGAGACTTATCATTTTTTCTATGACATAACTATGAAAAATTTGGTGGAGTACCTTCCACGTGTGCCAGGTTCTTCAAAGTGCGTCCAAAACTGGGCTGGAGGCCTTTTTGGCCAGACTCTGGCATGTAGATCACTCAGCCTCAGCAATTAAATGCTACAATAATAAAAGTTCACAGGATCTCATTAAATGGAACCACGTGCAACCACTATGCCCTAGATCAGCAGACAGGCTTACTCCTTCAAGTTCACCCTCCGTGCCAATTTCCTTGCACAAAGCAGTTCCTCAACGATTTCTTTACTGAGACTTCCGACCTTGCTTCTGCTAGCCTGCGAGCCGAGCCAGGGGCTGGTCTGGAGAAGCAGCCCACGATCCGACACATCTCTCGGTTCCCTCTGGGCGGCTGGGACGGCACCGCACCAGGTGTCCAGGCTTCGCTGGGCTGCCTCCCGCTCCCTGCCAGGCTCCCCAGATGCTGCAGGTGGGCTCCTAGGCTTTCTCTGGAGGTGCCCAAGGGGGTCTGGGCGGAGGCCAGCACTCCCTGCCCACCTCCGAGAGCCCTCCAGGTTCTGCACCCCTGGGCGTGGCAGTGGAGAAACGACCCCAGGGGAGAGGAGCGGAGACTCCTGGGTGGTTAGCCGGGCGCCGCGGGCACCCTCCCCTTCCCCCGTCACTGTGGTGTTTATCTTCGCCCGGGCTCTTCACTCTTTCTCTTTCACTTTTGTTTTAGGCTTGGGGGTTGGGACTCCCTGGGTTCAGAGCGCTCAGGGGAACCCCAGTTCACCGGCTCGCTGTCGTCTTAGCCCCGAAGGGAAGGGATAGGTGTGGCCCCGCCCTCCAGCTGCGCGAGCGGCGCCCCCTGCCCTGCAGCCCAGACTCCAAGGAGGTACGGTGCTCTGCTTCTCCACTTTGGGAGGGAGGTGGCGGTGGTTGAAAGGGTGATAGGATTTCCCCCCAAAGTCTCCTTGGGCCCCTCCCAGCTCCAGCTGGTCCCACCCCTCTGCCCAACTGCTGCTGGCTGGCGGCCCCGCCCTTTTATGGGGAACGCTTGGCAGTGACCCGTTTTCACTCACTTCGTGCAGAGGTTTTTCACCTTCTGGCCCTTCATTTCTCTCTCGTGGGCTTTTGTCGCCATCCTCCGCTTCCAGAGGAGCGCAGATTGCTGGTCCCCTGGCCTGCCCCGCGGCTCCCTAGCGCGCCCCTGTGTGCGGGTGGCCGGCTTCGAGGACGCTGTGGGGCGCGACGTGCGCCTGGCCACCCCGAGCCGCCCGCTGAAGACGCATCTGGCTGCGCAAAGAGCGGAGCTTCTCACCTAATTAAGCTCAGAAAGTTGAAGACAGGTACCGCATCTCCCCGCTTCTTCCCTGCTCCCTCCCAAACCCGCGTCCAGTTCAGACCTGCTCTGAACTGTCTGCCTTTGCGGGCAAAAGCAAGTTCCCCTCTTCTCGTTTGATCTGGACCCTTGTCTTCCAGGGAGAGGGGTTGGAGGGGATGGTCACTGTTGGGCAGCCAGCTCTGGGTCTGTATTTTCAGTTCCAACCCTGGACAAGACACTTGTCTCTTAGAAAAGCAGTATAAGAAACTTAGAAGAAATGCAGGAAACTTGTATTGCATTCGAATCCTTATTCAAGGTGGCTTTAAATGAAAATCCAGCTAACTTTTTTCAAGTGTTACTGAGACTGCATGTTGCAAGTGTACACAGTTTATTTGAATTTAACTGCGTAATTCTATGCATTTAAGAATTTGTTAACTTCAACATATATATATATATAGAGCAAGGTTATTCTTCAATGATGCTTATAACAGATTCTTAAATCGGGTGAGTCAGAAGTTTTGAAACCAGGAGTGAAGTGCTTGTTACTAGCTATGATTTTCCATTGTCTTTATTAAAGCTTTTCTTTCTAATGAATTTATTGGGGGGTGACATTGGTTAAGAAAACTATATAGGTTACAGGGATGCAATTCTATAATACAGTTACTTCCTAATGTTATGACACTGGTAATGGCATCAGCTTGTAGCTGATAGGCATCTTCATCTTGTCAGTGTGCCTAACTAAAGAGCTTTATTCACTGAACTGAACCAGCAGACCAGGTCAGGATGTTACAGCACCTTGCTGGGCAGAGGCTGCGAGGTGAATTGTGCAATATAGATTACATTTTAAACTCTTGCCCTTTTACTAAAAAGCAGTTTCAGTGGGCATGGTAGACAGAGGGAGGCAGTACTAAAGAAAGAACATAAAAGAATATTGAAGGACTGGATCGAAGACAAAGCAGTAGCCACTTTAGATTTTAAAAGTGATGAAAAAATTTAAGATTTTACTTCCTGTAATCAAGAAGTCTCAGAAAGTTCTGCAGGTTTGTTATGATTGTGTTTTAACATCATATTCTTATATTTCTCCCTCTGTTTTATGCTCTCAAAGTTTTAGTGCTATTCAGAATGGTCTTTCCTGCAGCATCATCTGCTCAGGACAGCACAACGGAGAGGGGTTGGGTTGGCTGATGGTCAGAAAGTTCTAATAGGCAGAGTGTTTCCATGATTCTACTTAGCTTTTTAAATGGGTTTCAGACCCCAAACATTTTTAAAACATTTGAATTCACTGCTCTGCTGATTTGGAATGGGAACTCCAGAACTTGCCTGAAGCTGTAGTTCTGGAATTTGGAATTTTCCTACAGATTACTGGTGGGTTTAAGAGAAGCATGTGCTGTTTTCTGTTGTAATCCATGAGATTAATACATAAATGTCAACAGCTATATCACAAAGCATAATGTTTGCCAATGAAATGCATGTTTATAAGATTCTTTGGAGGATGGGGAAAAATAGCAGTTTAAAGTTTGTTGAAATAGAGTTTGATCATTGGAGGATTTGAAACCCTAGAAGGTTCTCCATCTCAGGTTTGCTGGCTCCAAGTAGACCTCAGTAGAACCAAGTCCCAAAATTTATGTAAGTGGATTTTTCTGAGGAAAATACCCATAATTCTAATCAAATTTTTAAATACCCAAAACACTTTTAAAAACATTTTAAAATTTAGAAGACTGTGCTTTTTATTTCTATCCTTACTGAAGAAAGAGCATAAAAGAATATTGAAGGACAGGATTGAAGACAAAGCAGTAGCCACTTTAGATTTTAAGAGTGATGGAAAAATTTAAGATTTTACTTCCTGTAGTCAAGAAGTCTCAGAAAGTTCTGCAGGTTTGTTATGATTGTGTTTTAACATCATATTCTTATATTCTTCCCTCTGTTTTATGCTCTCAAAGTTTTAGTCCTATTATTGTTAACTTTTGCATATTATGTAACTATTCTTTTGAAGGTTAGGCAATGATAATACAGAGAGCACTGTCTTTGGGCCCATAACTCGAATTATGGGAAATAATAGTAATCCTAGCTAATTTTTTGAGTTCTTGTTATGTATCAGACATTGTTCCAAGAATGTATGTATTTTTAAAATTATCATAGTAAACTTATGTAGTGGTAGGGACAGTGTCGTGTAGCTAAGAAAATGGAAGCATGGAGTCATTAAATAACTTGCCCAAAGTTATAGCTAAAAAGTGGGAGAGCTAGGATTTGAGCCCAGAAAAGATTTGATCACAGCTTTTCATGAATGATGATATTATTTCCATAGAAATACTTCCCACAGTTTGACAGTGACAATCAACCACTACTTCATTTTGACACAGTGATTATAGAATGTTGGGTTTAAAGCAATGCTTACACGGTACTTACATGATTGACATTATTAATTACAATTATATATTTAAAGATTACCTTTATGACCAAATAATATTCACATGAGTGCCTGTATATGTTTGGTTCTTTGGAGAAATTTCTTTTATGGTTCCTGAATGAAAACATTTCTCTAATTTGCACCAGTTTTTGCTGACAGAGCTTGACAGGTAGTAGGCAAATGCGGATCGATCTATATGTATGTATCTGTTACTCTACCTGTCTGTTCATTCATCCAAGCAGAAGCCTGGGACTCATGGAGAGATCGGGACAGAAGGCTTTATCATTATATCACAACTGAAGTGGGATAGTCAGCTATTAGGAAGTCCACTTTCAGAAGGCTTTAGGGTATGAAGTCTGGCAAAAAGCCAACTTCTTTCTTCAGCTCAATATTAGCTCTTGAATTAATTTACCAAGTGATTACAGATGACTGCGTGAGATTTTTGAGACTGAACGTTGCTTATTTGCTGCTGCACCCCTTTTTGATGGACTGGATGGGAAAATTCCATAGGAGAGTTGAAAGAACATTTGGGGTTGTCGCTAGCACTGGGAGGTATTCTCTACTAACGATTTAGTGGTAAATTTTACTAATTAACTATTATAATTATATAACTATTATATTTATTACTTTGTTTTATGTCAAAGAATGGTATCCTTTAAAAAAAAAAGTAAGTTAGTGCTGGATTCAGACATAGACAATAAGAGACTTTTTGATCTCAGTTCAATTTAGCAATACTATTTGTACACATTTTATATCAGGAGGCAGGTATTTGTATGCTTGCATTTCTCAGTGTTTTATTCTTCTTCGATGCTACTGGTGTCTTGCCAGTCAGTACTAGAAGGGCATAGGACTGTATATAAACCATATAAAAATGGACAAAACTCCGAGTCCCTATTAGCTGATTATGTTCTAACAATATATAATTGTTTCTTCTCCAAATGCTAAGGTTCCTCCAAGTGCTAATGGGATGAAGGGAAGGTCAGGAGAGGGACAGAGAGTATTTACTCAGATGAAGACATTGAAATTGGCCCTGGCTGGTTTGGCTCAGCAGTTAGAGCATTGTCCCGTGGACCAAAGAGTTGTGAGTTCAATTCCAATCAAGGGTTCAGTTCCCAGCACTGGTTGGGGTCTTGTGGGAGGCAACCAATTGATGTGTCTCTCTCACATGGATGTTTCTCTCTCTCTCTCTCCCTCCTACTCTGTCTGAAAAGAAATGAAAAACATATCCTCGGGTGAGGACTTAAAAAAACAAAAATTGGAACTGAAAATTATCCTAGAAGAGGATGGTTGTAATGTTGGTGAAGGGAGGAACTCTGTTTATCACAGGGACATGAAAATAGACCAGTGACACCTTCATTGGTCTGTTGTGTCATTTCTTCTCACTGGGCATCTTGCTCCTCATAGAAATTTGAGAAACAAAATACCCCTTGCACACTCTTAGCACTGACCTCTCAAATTTTCAATTGATGTTCTTTAATGGAACATTTTAGCATTAGAAATTTTACAATAAAGCTTTCTGATTTCTTTACTCTCCTTCCTCCGCAGCAACAAAAGTATAGACATTTAAATTTAATTTTTTAAATAAACAATTTTAATGTTAAAAAAACTATTCTTTATGCTACTTTAAACATGATTAGCATGTACTTAACTGAAATAACTCATTAACTTTTTTTGTTTCTGCATCTTTATTTTTATTTATTTTTTTAATTAATTAATTTATTTTTGTTACAGATGTCCCCCCCCAGATTCCCCCAGCTCATTAACTTTTTTTTTTTTTATCCTCACCTGAGGATATTTCTCCATTTTTTTGTACAGATAGAGTGGGAGGGAGAGAGAGGAAGGGAGAGAGAGAGAGAGAAACATCGATGTGAAGGGACACATCGAGTGGCTGCCACCCGCACGATCAACCAGGGCCGGGACAAACTGCAACCGAAGTACGTGCCCTTAGCGGGAACCGAACCTGGGTCTCTCCGGACCGCAGGCCGACGCTCTAACCGCTGAGCCAAACCGGCCAGGGCTCATTAACTTTTGATAAGAAATTATTAGGCATAAAACAAAACCATACTGAGAATGTCTGTGTGTGTAGATGTAGCCGTGGGTGGTGGCGTGACCAGTGCTGACCTTTGAGCAGGTTCCCCACCATCAGTGTTTCAGATCGCCCCTG